TAGGGGGCGCACGCGCATCTGCCCTACCTCCGCCTCCATTTGCGGCCTCAGCTGTCCATCACCAGGTCCCGGTCGGTGATTACTTGTCGGCACCCGATGATCGCCGAGTAATACCTACGATGAAGAGAACTGTATGTAAACAATACAGTTCTCTCTCCTGTTGGCTCCAGCACACTGCTTTGTATGGCTCTGCATAGCAGAGCCATACAAAGCAGTGTGCTTACAATGGAAAGCACAGACATAGCCCATAGTAAAACACACACAGTACACAGTTAACCCTTTGATCACCCCAGATGTTAAACCCTTCCTGCCCAGTGTCATTAGTACAGTGTCAGTGCTTTTTATTAGCACTGATCGCTGTATTGGTGTCACGGGGGATGTCAGTGACACCAAGTCAGTTCCCCCCCCAGTGTCAGAATGCCTGCCGCAGTCCTGCTATAAGTCTATGATTGCCGCCATTACTAGTAAAAAAAAAAAAAAACACGTATTTATACCACCATTTATAAATGCTGTAACTTGCACATAAAGCAATTAATTTACACATATTGGGATTTATTTTTAGCAAAGACATGTAGCAAAATACATTTTCCCTTAAATTTATGATAAAGTTTGATTTAAAAAACTAATTTTTTAAAATTCTGCTATCTGCTATAGAGTGGTCGGGAGATGTTTAACTGCTTCCCGACCACTCTATAGCAGAAATACTGCTACAGGGTGGCACTGGTGCGCAAAATCACATATATATATATATATATATAATATATATATAATATAAATATATACGTAATTGTGCATTTCTGGGTAGGGGGGCGCGCATGAGCTGCACATGCACCCTACCCTCGGCTGTCAATCACTGGGTCCTGGTCAGTAATTACTTGCCGGCGCCCAGTGATTACCGAGTATCTCCGACGGGGAGGAAGACTGTTTACTAACAGTCTTCCTCCCTGTCAGCTTGGGCACACTACTCTGGATGGCAGTGTGCTTACAGTGAAGCACACCCCCCCCTAGTAAAACACTCCCTACACATAGTTAACCCTTTGATCGCCCCTCATATTAATCCCTTCCTGCCCAGTGCTAGTAATACAGTGTCAGTGCTTTTTTTAGCACTGATCACTGTATTGGTGTCACCAGGTCAGTTCCCCCTCAGTGTCAGAATGTCCGACGTAGTCCCGCTAAAAGTCGCTGATTGCTGCCATTACTAGTGGAAAAAAAAAATTCCCAATATCTATACCAATATCTATACCGCCATTTGTAAACGCTATAACTTTCCCAATTAATTTACACATATTGGGATTTTTTTAGCAAAGACATGTCGCAGAATACATTTTGGCCTAAATTTATGACAAAATGTGATTTTTAAAATTTTTTTACTGGACATGTTTAATAGCAAAAAGTCCAAAATATTGTTTTTTTTGCAAAATTGTCAGTCTTTTTTCTTTTATAGCGCATAAAATAAAAAGCACACAGGCAATCAAATACCACTGAAAGAAAGCTGAATTTGTGGGAAAAAATGGCGTAAATTTCATTTGGGTGCAGCATTGCATGAACACGCAATTGTCAGCTAACCACTTCCCATCCGGCTCATGTACATACACGGCCGGATGGGAGTAGTGCAGGAGCACGTGGCTGTTTATAAATGTCCTCCCAAGTTCCCTGCCTGTCCGCCCCCTGGGAGCGTGCGGCACCATTATCCAGTGCCCTCTGTGTCCTCCAGACACAGCGGAACACCAATCGCTGTATGGGACCTCTGTGTGAGGTCCCGATCATGTGATCACTGATTGGCCAGTCGGGTGATCACATGAATAGTAGTAAGCAAGATGTCAGTTCTGACATCATTGCTTACTACTTGTGAAATCTGTGAATGATCACAGAGATCACATGGTACAAGGCTATTCAAAACGGCCTTGTACCATGTGACAAGCTGTGACCAATCACAGCTCACACAGTATTTCTCAATGCCTGCAAGAATGCAGCCAGAGAGGAGAACTTATTGCTTTTACAGCCTTTATGGTGTAAAAGCAATCAGTGTAAAAAAAAAAATCTTCATCACCCCCCACAAGTACCGTATTTTCCGGCATATAAGACAACTGGGCGTATAAGACGACCCCCTACTTTTCCTGTTTAAAATGTAGTGTTTGGGCTATACTCGCCGTATAAGACTACCCCTCTTCCAGTGCACACCAGTGGGAAGAATCGTGCCCCATCATTGGTGTCAGTGGGAGGAATAGTGCCCCATCATTGGTATTAGTGGGAGGAATAGTGCCCCATCATTGGTATCAGTGGGAGGAATAGTGCCCCATCATTGGTATCAGTGGGAGGAATAGTGCCCCATCATTGGTGTCAGTGGGAGGAATAGTGCCCCATCATTGGTGTCAGTGGGAGGAGTAGTGCCCCATCATTGGTATCAGTGGCAGGAATAGTGCCCCATCATTAGTATCAGTGGCAGGAATAGTGCCCCATCATTGGTGTCAGTGGGAGGAATAGTGTCCCATCATTGGTGTCAGTGTGGGAGGAATAGTGCCCCATCATTGGTGTCAGTGGGAGGAATAGTGTCCCATCATTGGTGTCAGTGGGAGGAATAGTGCCCCATCATTGGTGTCAGTGGGAGGAATAGTGTCCCATCATTGGTGTCAGTGGGAGGAATAGCGCCCCATCATTGGTATCAGTGGCAGGAATAGTGCCCCATCATTAGTATCATTGGGGGGAATAGCACCCCATCATTGGTGTCAGTGGAATAGTGCCCCATCTTTGGTGTCAGTGGGAGGAATAGTATCCCATCATTGGTGTCAGTGGGGGGGGGGAGGAATAGTGCCCCATCGTTGGTGTCAGTGGGGGGGGGGAGGAATAGTATCCCATCATTGGTGTCAGTGGGGGGTGGAATAGTGCCCCATCATTGGTGTTAGTGGGAGGTGGAATAGTGCCCCATCATTGGTGTCAGTGGGGGGGGGGGAATAGTGCCCCATCATTGGTGTCAGTGGGGGGGGGAGGAATAGTGCCCAATTGTTGGTGTCAGTGGGGGGGGGAGGAATAGTGCCCCATCGTTGGTGTCAGTGAGGGGGAGGAAAAGTGCCCCATCGTTGGTGTCAGTGGGAGGAATAATGCCCCATCATTGGTATCAGTGACACCAACGATGGGGCACTATTCCTCCCACTGACACTTGCTGACCCCTGTTCCAGTACGGTGCTGCTGCAGTCAGCATATGTGGTTGCAGCAGCACCTAAGCACGGCACACTTACCTGCATCTCCACTCGATTTTCGCAGGGGGGGCCGCTCAGCTCCGCCTCCTCACCGGTGATTGGCCGCCTGTGTGCCTTTCCTGAGCTACAGTTCTGGCGGCCAATCACCGGTGAGGAGGCGGAGCCGAGCAGCTGCACGAACATCCAGTGGACGAACCGAAGGAAGGAGCAGTCGCGCTTCCTGAACCGGATCGTCGTGGGACCGGAGCCAGGTAAGAGACAGCAGCCCCTGCCCACCCCTGTACTTAGTGTCCCTTCTGTTGGAGGGGGGGGGGGGCGGCGGCGGCGGCACCGCGCCACCCCCCTAAAAAGTGTCAGCATGCCGTTACCGGCGTATAAGACGACCCCGACTTTTGAGAAGATTTTCAAGGGGTAAAAAGTCGTCTTATATGCCGGAAAATACGGTAGTACAGTGTCACCATGGTGACACTGTACTGCTAGGGTGACGGTATGTTAAAAAAAAACCCACATAAATAATGTAAAAAAAAATAATCATGTAAAAAAATGTTTAAAAAAATTATAATTTTTGGTTATAAACTAATTTGGGTTATTTTATTTTGTTAAAAAGAAAACTGAATACATTTTGGCCAAGATTTATGAAGAAAGATTATTTATTGCAAAATTGTATAAGACAAACACTTTCTTTTTCAAAACGTTTGGACTTTTTTATTTATAAAGCAAAAAATAAAAATCCCAGTGTTGAATAAATAACACCAAAATAAAGTTTTATCTGTCTTAAAAAATGCTAAAAAATGCATATGGGTACAGTGTTGCATGACCGCGCAATTGTAATTCAAAGTATGATAGCACTGAAAGCTGAACATTGGCCTGGACTGGAAGGGGGGGTGAAAGTGTCCGGACTTGAAGTGGTTAAAGCAATGCAGCGCTGTAAAGCAAAAAATGGCCTGATCAGGAAGGAGGGAAAATCCTCAGGAGGGTAAGTGGTTAACAGCAAAAATTCAAAAATATTGTTTTTTCTCAACATTGTGGGTCTTTTTTGTTTATAGCGCAAAAAATATGCACAGGTAATCAAATACCACCAAAAGAATGCTCGATTTGTGTGGGGGGGGATGTCATTTGGGTGCAGCGTTGCATGATGACCGCGCAATTGTCAAAGTAACGCAGTGCCGTAATGCAAAAAATGGCCTGGTCAGGAAGGGGAAATCCTCAGGAGGGCAAGTGTTGTAAACTAGCAGTAATTCCTTGTATGGATTATCACAGGAATGTGCAGCATAGATGGATCTAGGGGGGTGCTGGGGTGGGCTATGCCCCTCCAGATTTAAGTTGTGCCCCCCCAAAGCCAACCTTAACCTGCCACTATACTACTCTAACCTGCCACCATACTGCCATGTGTGTTGTGTGGGAGGAGCTGTGCCCGTCTTCTTCCCTGCCTGCATTGACCTCTGCCCCCCTGACATTTTTTTTCTTGCACCCCCACATCAGACAGGCTAGACACGGCCCTGGTGTGCAGTAGAATCAGGAACGAGGCTTGGTTTTGTCCAGACTGAGGCTGGGCACATCCAATCCAGAACGAGACTTGGCTTTACCAATCAGCTCCGGGCTTAGGTGCAGCAGACTTGGACTGGGTGCTCCGCTGGTCTTCTCCCTTGGTGACCAGCGAAGGAACAAGAAGCAGTACTGTGCTGACTATACAATTGGTATATTCCCCGCGCTGGGCGGACTCGTATTAAGAATTACACAGACTGGTCTTCGGTAAAATGTCTGCTGTACAGGAGACACTGATGAGCGTAATGGGTGTACGTCATGACGCTGGGAGGCACGCACGGCCGGTCCTGCCTGCTGTCGCAGAGGAGGGTCCAGGCGGTGTTGGTATATAGAGTACTATACAGTGATAGACGGAGCTCAGCATCGGCTGTCCGGGGAGGTGAGGCCATAGGATAGAATCCTCAGCACTGCTCTGTATTCAGACATTGTTACTGGACACGGCTAGACCAGGGACAAGGGGGGTGGTAGGTGTGCATTGCTGGGGTGTCCTGAGTCCCCTCTCAGCTGGGAGGACGGACAGTGTACATGATATCAGTTCTCTGTATAGGATTTGGAGAATATAGATTTTTGGGGTGATGGGGGTTAGTCATTTGTGGGTTCAGGCTGATTTTTGTCCTTTGAAGAGCTGGAACAATTAGGGCTCATTCACATGGGGAGAAAAATAATGCATTTTAGAAATCCTGTGTCGTGAAAGAGAGGTCTTTGCTGGCAGAGCTACACCATCCTGTGCAAAATACCTGCCTGAGGTACTTGCGGCTAAATGCATATGTGCGCAAAATCTGCAAATCTATGTACGCAAAATCTGCAGATGTATCCCACTTTTTTATGGGCACTATTCTCAGTGTACCTTTTTCGTATGCAGATACGTGTAGGGATTAATTGACTAGACTTTGGCGCTGTGTTGCGTCTAGATGCACACAAAGCGATATGCTGTATGTATCTAAATGCAGTGTTCTACTCGTGTAAATGAGCCCTTACACCCCAGTCACATCAAACCCAGCTTTGAAATTGTGTGACTTACAGTGAAGTTGCACAATTTCAAAGTCGGGTGAGATGCTGATTTCAGGTGCGATTTTCAAGATATCTGCCACAGATTTCGATGCAACTCACACCAAAAGTAGTAATTTGCGGACAGCAGGGTGCGACTTGGCATGTGATTTGCAAGCCGCATGGCATGCAAATCGCATGCTAATTCTCATCCATTGTGACCGGGGTGTTAGAGTGCAAGCTGATCACCACTTGCCCTCCAGAGGATTTACCCACCTTCCTGACCAGGTCATTTTTTTGCGATACGGCGCTGCTTTACTTTAACTGACAACTGCACGGTCATGCAACGCTGTACATAAATGAAATTATGTCCTTTTTTTTCCCCCACAAGTAGAGCTTTAATTCGGTGGTATTTGTTCAGCTCTGTGTTTATTTTTTTGCTCTGTAAACAAAAAAGACCAACTATTTTGAAAACAAATAATCTTTTTGCTATAAAACATTCAATAAAAATTTTTTAAAAATCAAATTTCTTCATAAATTTAGGCCAAAATGTATTCTGCTACATGTCTTTGCTAAAAAAAAAATCCTAATATGTGTAAATTAACTGGTTTACGTGAAAGTTTAGTGTCTACAAATGGCGGTGTATATATACTGGAATCTTTTTTTTTTTTTGTATACTAATAATGGCGGCGATCAGCAACTTGAAGCTGGACTGCGGCGGGCAGTTTGACTCTGGGTGGGATCTGACTAACTGCCACTGACATCCCCAGTGACACTAATACAGTGATCAGTGCTAAAAAAAAAACAATGACACTGGGCAGGAAGGGGTTAATATCTGGGGCGATCGAAAGGTTAACTGTGTGTTTTAATGTGTGCTGTGTTTTACTAGGGCAGTGTGTTTCTCAACTCCAGTCCTCATGGACCCCCAACAGGTCATGTTTTCAGGATTTCCATTATTTTGCACAGGTGATTTGATCAGTTTCACTGCCTTAGTAATTACCACAGCTGTTTCATCTGAGGGAAATCCTGAAAACATGACCTGTTGGGGGTCCATGAGGACTGGAGTTGAGAAACACTGTACTAGGGAGACATGCTGCTTTGTATTTTTCTGCTGTGCAGTGATGCAAAACAGCATGTCCATGCTGAAAGGAGAGAGACCTCTGTTTACACACAGGTCTCGCTCCTGTCAGATTTCCCCGACATTCACCGAGTACTGGCCAGGACCCGTTGATTTCATCTCTAGCTGCCAATAGTGGAGTGGGTAGGGTGGGGTGTGTGTGTGTGTGTGTGTATATGTGTGTGTGTGTGTGTGTGTGTGTGTGTATGTATGTATGTATGTACAGTCAGGTCCATAAATATTGGGACATCTACACAATTCTAACATTTTTGGCTCTATGCACCACCACAATGGATTTGAAATGAAACGGACAAGATGTGCTTTAACTGCAGACTGTTAGCTTTAATTTGAGGGTATTAACATCCAAATCAAGTGAACGGTGTAGGAATTACAACAGTTTGCATATGTGCCTCCCACTTATTAAGGAACCAAAAGTAATGGGACAGAATAATAATCATAAATCAAACTTTCACTTTTTAATACTTGGTTGCAAATCCTTTGCAGTCAATTACAGCCTGAAATCTGGAACGCATAGACATCACCAGACGCTGGGTTTCATCCCTGGTGATGCTCTGCCAGGCCTCTACTGCAACTGTCTTCAGTTCCTGCTTGTTCTTGGGGCATTTTCCCTTCAGTTTTGTCTTCAGCAAGTGAAATGCATGCTCAATCGGATTCAGGTCAGGTGATTGACTTGGCCATTGCATAACATTCCACTTTTTTCCCTTAAAAAACTCTTTGGTTGCTTTTGCAGTATGCTTTGGGTCATTGTCCATCTGCACTGTGAAGCGCCGTCCAATGAGTTCTGAAGCATTTGGCTGAATATGAGCAGATAATATTGCCTGAAACACTTCAGAATTCATCCTGCTGCTTTTGTCAGCAGTCACATCATCAATAAATACAAGAGAACCAGTTCCATTGGCAGCCATACATGCCCACGCCATGACACTACCACCACCATGCTTCACTGATGAGGTGATATGCTTAGGATCATGAGCAGTTCCTTTCCTTCTCCATACTGTTCTCTTTCACTCTGGTACAAGTTGATCTGGTCTCATCTGGCCAACTGTCGTGAAGGGTTTTTTGTCGTTTCAAACCAGGGAAAATGGTTTACAATGGTGAACCTTCTGTATTGGTCAGTCTTCTCTTGATTGGTGACTTTGACACACACACCTACCTCCAGTTCTTTTTCCGTGGTCTTCACCGGGTCTTTGGTCATCCACCACAGTTGTTTTCCGTGGTCTTCCGGGTCTTTTGGTGTTGCTGAGCTCACCGGTGCGTTCCTTCTTTTTAAGAATGTTCCAAACAGTTGTTTTGGCCACGCCTAATGTTTTTGCTATCTCTCTGATGGGTTTGTTTTTTGTTTTTTCAGCCTAATGATGGCTTGCTTCACTGATAGTGACAGCTCTTTGGATCTCATCTTGAGAGTTGACAGCAACAGATTCCAAATGCAAATAGCACACTTGAAATGAACTCTGGACCTTTTATCTGCTCATTGTAATTGGGATAATGAGGAAATAACACACACCTGGCCATGGAACGGCTGAGAAGCCAATTGTCCCATTACTTTTGGTCCCTTAATAAGTGGGAGGCACATATACAAACTGTTGTAATTCCTACACCGTTCACCTGATTTGGATGTAAATACCCTCAAATTAAAGCTGACAGTCTGCAGTTAAAGCACATCTTGTTTGTTTCATTTCAAATCCATTGTGGTGGTGTATAGAGCCAAAAATGTTAGAATTGTGTCGATGTCCCAATATTTATGGACCTGACTGTATGTATATGTGTGTGTGTGTGTGTATATGTGTGTATGTGTGTGTGTGTGTGTATGTGTGTATATATATATATATATATATATATATATATATAATATATATATATATATATATATATATATATATAAATTTGCTTTTCTCAACCTTGTTTACATAGAGGAACTCTTGAAATACGGTAACTTTCCAGTCCCACAGAAACCTTGCTATTAATTACTCTATATAAAGCTCCTGGTACATTAGAGGTATGGTCAGTGGGAGGAGTGCTTCTTACATTTGTGATCATTGGGAAGAATCCCTACTTACAGATAGCAAAAAAGATCAATGCTGTCAGTGGTTAGTTATGCAAGATGCAGAAATTGCTCATTAGGCTACTTTCACACTGATCTGCAGCAAAAACGCATATGTGTATGTGTGTTTTTTACCGCACTTGCAGTGCCTTTTTTTTTTTTTTTCCCTTTACAGGACATGTGACTCAAAAGCATCACCAAAAACACACTGCACGTACATTTTTTGCACGTTTTTTTTTTTTTTTTTTTTTTTTTTTTTTTTTTTTTTTTGCTGCTTTTTCTGTTGATTTCGATGGGGAGGTACATTTTTGGTGCGGTTTATTAACCACACCAAATCTGAACCAAAATTGCAGCAAGCAGGATTTACAAGAAATGCACCTGAACCACAACAGATCGGTGTGAACAGTTCCATTGGAATGCATGGTTACACATTTTCTTCTGTGTTTTTTTTTTTTGTTTTTTTTTTTTTTTTAACGCAAAAGCGGAAGAATAACAGATCAGTGTGAAAGTAGCCTTACTCAAGTAACCCATAGCAGCCTCTGGAGGAAGTCTAGCGTTTCATGGAATACTGGTTGGGAAAGGCTTGGTTCACACCTCTGAAGTTTGCTTTTGATCTGTTTCTGCAGTGCTTTTTGCAGTGCATTCTGTGTTTTTGATGTGTTTACACAGTTTTGGATGCATTTTTTTAATGCTTTTTTTTTTGTTGTCCACTTGTATTTTGGTCACATTACAAAATGCATCCAAAACGCACTACATGCTTTTGTGCCAGCATCTCTATTGAAATCTTTTGAACCAAAAAAGCATAGTTTTGTGTTTAAAAAAAAAAAAAAAAAAAAAAAGGTCCTTGACTCTTTCCAAAAATGCAGCAGCTGTAAAAGCACAGATATGAATGTGTTCCATAGGAAACCATGTGTAATGGACTGTAGTGCATTTCTGCAAAAAGCACAAAAAAAAAACCCGCATAGGTGTGAACCAGGCCTTATTATAGGGTGAGGTTAGTGTGTTCAGAATTGATGACCACACTATGATGATTGTTAATTAAAAAGAAAAACAACCTGCAGGTCCTCTTAATTTAAGGCTGCATTTATATGCATTCTTTGGTACTTTATTGGATTCTGTCAGGCACAAAAAGTTGAGTTTATAGGAGGGGGCATCTTGCCATGCACTGGATGTCATTGCCATCAGTAGTTTTTGGCCAATGCAGTGAGTAGAT